TATTATTCCTGAAATTGTCACTTTAAATTCATAAGCCTTGTTCATTTTTTACCCAAAATGAAGGCTTTTTGAACCTGCCCTGTAGCAGTTTGTCTGGGTTAATTTTAATCCTCTTCTCAATCTGCAGATCTTCAACTAGAGTAATTCTGGCTTTTCTCTAAAACTAGAAAAAATTAAAATTTCTCGTAAAGCATTTATTGGGTGTGAGTCATGCCAGCGCAAGTAACAATCTTCATGTTATGTAAGAACATAAGAAATAGGATCGAGAGTAATACATATAGTACATTGAGACTGTTGCACCATTCAACATGATCTTGGTTGATCTTGGGCTCCAACTTCACCTTTCTGTTTGCTCCTCATAACCTTTGGTTTCCCAAGAGAATAAAAATGTATCTGTCTATCTCGGCCTTAAATATATTAAATTATGTTACATTCACAACCAAAGGGATAGAGAATTTGAAGACTCACAATCCTTTCAGTGAAGAAATTTCTGTTCATCTCAGCTCCAAATGGTTGGTCCCTTTTCCTGAGACCATAATCCTGCAGAAATAAATTTGTTTTCTAGCAGAAAACTGTGCTCAGTGTTTTGCGATCCAATTTACACCACCACTAGGAGATCAAAACCAAGCTGAAATTATTTGTTCAACATCTCTGCCATTTCTTCATTCCCATGATATTTTCTCCGGTCTCTGTTTGTAAGATCACTGTTTACTTTATCTACTGTCTTCCATGTTATATATGCATAAAATGTGCACAATCTCTTTTTATATGCCTGGCTAGTTCATCCTTGTTGGTATTTTTTTTCAGTTTTTATCAACATTTTGTTTTACTGGTTTCTAAAACAGGCCAAATTCTCTGACGTATTATTTTTCTTTCCAAACTTCTTCATAAACTGAGGATGGATCTGTCTTGCTATACGTTTGTTTTTAAATAGAACATATTTTGTCAAACTTTTTGAATTTGTTTCTTTAGTTATTTTCTATTGTTTGTTTACCCATTAAATCCTTTCATTCATTTATCCAGTCAACTTTACTCAGTTCTCAGATCAAAGAAACTAAAAGCACTTTTGGAAACCAAGGAGTTTGTTGGTGGAACTAGCAAGTCTGGAGAAATGCTGGTTAACTCCATTGGAGATATTAATTAGTAATGTCAGTGCCAGAATCAAACATTTGGTTCTGAAGATAAAAGATAATTAGTTTTCATTTCTGATTGGAATATCCCAAGTATGCCATATTGCAGCAAAGATGGACTGTGTGGTTGAGGGATAGTGGGTCAATGGGTTAGGGAAGTTCCACTTCTTATTTATCTGTGTGTTTCACTCACTGAAGGTCACAGTCTGCAGTTCAGTTTGGGAACAAATAGAGACAGTTGCATTTAATGAGGTGAAACAACAACAGAGATAAATGTTACCTCAAAGAATAGCTAGATCCCTGAGGAAAATATAAAGTAAATCCTAGAGATCTATTTGAATTCCAAAAGGACTAATGAAACTGTTGGGCATAATTAGGGAATAAAAAGTGAAACAAAACAGAAATTGTTGGAGAAACTCAGCAGGTCTGGCACCATCTCTGGAGAGAAAAGCAGAGTTAACATTTCAGGTCCAGTGACCGTTCTTCAGAACTTCTGGACTTGAAACATTAACTCTGCTTTCTCTCCAAAGATACTGCCAGACCTGTTCAGTTTCTCCAGAAATGTCTGCTTTCGTTTCAGATCATCAGCATCAGCAGTTCTCTGTTTTATTTTAAAGTAAAAAGGGGAATTGGATTATTCACTCAGTCTTGACATACCATAGCGTTAAGTTAGTAATGCTTGATCCTCTGATGCTGCTTAACCCTAACTCCCCACCTACACTCACCTTTACTGGCTTCATCCCCGCCTCTTTGACCTGTCTGTCTCCTCTCCACCTATCTTCTCCTCTATCCATCTTCTATCCGCCTCCCCTTCTCTCCCTATTTATTTCAGAACCCCCTTACCCTCCCCCATTTCTGAAGAAGGGTATCGGCCCGAAACGTCAGCTTTCCTGCTACTCTGATGCTGCTTGGCCTGCTGTGTTCATCCAGCTCTACACCTTGTTATCTCATACTCTAAAGGTTGTTTTGTTTGAAAACATTAAATCTCTATGCCTGCCTCTTTGTAGGTTATGTGGAACAATCCCTCTTCCATACCTACACTAGCCCTAAACCCACCTCTTGCTCCGTTACATTGATGACTGTATCGGCGCCGCCTTGTGCTCCCACGAGGAGCTCGAACAGTTCATCCACTTCACCAACACCTTCCACCCCAACCTTAAGTTCACCTGGACCATCTCTAATACCCCTCTCTCCTTCCTGGACCTCTCTGTCTCTATCTCCGGCAACCACCTAGAAACCGATATCCATTTCAAGCCCACCGACTCCCACTGCTACCTAGAATATACCTCCTCCCACCCACCTTCCTGCAAAAATGCCATCCCCTATTCCCAATTCCTTTGCCTCCGCCGCATCTGCTCCCAGGATGAGGTATTCCACTCCCGTACATCTCAGATGTCCTTGTTTTTCAAGGACCGCAATGTCCCCCCCTCAGTGGTCGAGAACGCCCTCAACCGTGTCTCTCGCATTTCCCGCAACTCATCCCTCACACCCCCTCCCCGCAATAACAACCAAAACAGAATCCCCCTCGTCCTCACGTACCACCCCACCAACATCCGGATCCAACGCATCATCCTCCGACACTTCCGCCATCCGCAATCCAACCCCACCACCAAAAACATTTTTCCCTCCCCACCCTTATCTGCTTTCCGGAGGGACCACTCTCTCCGTGACTCCCACACTCCCCTCCAGCCCCACCTCACCCGGCACTTTTCCCTGCAACCGCAGGAAGTGCTACACCTGCCCCTACACCTCCCCCCTCACCCCCATCCCAGGCCCCAAGAAGACTTTCCACATCAAGCAGATGTTCACCTGCCTCTTTGTAGGTTACGTGGAACAATCCCTCTTCCATACCTACACTAGCCCTAAACCCACCTCTTGCTCCGTTACATTGATGACTGTATCGGCGCCGCCTTGTGCTCCCACAATCTGCTAATGTGGTATACTGCATCCACTGTTCCCGTTGTGGCCTCCTCTACATCGGGGAAATCAAGCGGAGGCTTGGGGACCGCTTTGCAGAACACCTACGCTCGGTTCGCACTAAACAACTGCACCTCCCAGTCGCGAACCATTTCAACTCCCCCTCCCATTCCTCAGATGACATGTCCATCCTGGGCCTCCCGCAGTGCCACAACGATGCTACCTGGAGGTTGCAGGAACAGCAACTCATATTCCGCTTGGGAACCCTGCAGCCCAATGGTATCAATGTGGACTTCCAAAGCTTCAAAATCTCCCCTCCCCCTCCTGCATCCCAAAACCAGCCCAGCTTGTCCCCGCCTCCCTAACCTGTCCTTCCTCCCACCTATCCCCTCCTCCCACCTCAAGCCCCATCCCCATCTCCTACCTACTAACCTCATCCCGCCCCCTTGACCTATCCGTCCTCCCTGGACTGACCTATCTCCTCCCTACCTCCCCACCTACACTCACCTTTACTGGCTCCATCCCTGCCTCTTTGACCTGTCTGTCTCCTCTCCACCTATCTTCTCCTCTACCCATCTTCTATCTGCCTCCCCCCTCTCCCTATTTATTTCAGAACCTCCTTCCCCTCCCCCATTTCTGAAGAAGGGTCTAGGCCCGAAACGTCAGCCTTCCTGCTCCTCTGATGCTGCTTGGCCTGCTGTGTTCATCCAGCTCTATACCTTGTTATCTCAGATTCTCCAGCATCTGCAGTTCCTACTATCTCTGAAACAAAATTTTGAAGCTTAATTTGTTTTGGTTAACCACTGCATTTCAAAGTTCTCTTTAAAAGTTAATGGTCCCTACAGAGATCTTAAGACCATGCTCAAGTATTACCTTTATATAAATATGCAAGGAGCCTATAACATCTATCAATGTTTCCTGGTTCCTGCTATTCCTCATCTCCACTTATACTGATGCTACTTCATGATCTTTCTGAGCCAAGATTCTTTCTCATAAATAACCTTAAGTCATCCCTTACTATCAGGCTACCCTTCTCTGCCATTCCGCCTGTCTTATGTTGTGCACTGGAACATTTATTTTCCAAAGTTGGTCACCTTGTAACCATTTCTGTAACAGCGATTTAATCTAAACAACATCCCTCTTTGTGCCACTAGTTTGCCTATATTATTCAGGATGCTTCGTACATTCAGACAAAGAGCCTTTAATGTTATTTTGATTTGGTTTGATTTGATTTGTTGTTGTCATGTACTGGGATAGAGTGAAGAGTGTTGTTTTGCATGTGCTACAGGCAGATTGTACCATACAATATGCATCAGGGTAACAGAACAGAGTGCAGAATACAGTGTTACAGTAGAAGAGAAGGTGCAGAGAGAGAGATCAGAATTAACATTTGAGATGTCTGTTCAAAAGTCTGATAACAGTGGGGAAGAAATTGTTCTTGAATCTGTTTGTACGTGTATTTAAATTTTTATATCTTCTGCCTGACAGAAGAGGGTGGAAGAAAGTATAGCCATTACTACTATTGTTGCTACTATTCCCTGCATGGACCTTACCTTCTGTCGTACCACTGCAGCTAGCCATTCACTGACCCACTCTGCTTTTCTTTGCCAACATCACTTTACTACTGATTTTTAACACAGTGACACAAAACAAATTTGGGAAGATTTCCCCTTTTGTAGTACTGTCAACATGTTATTGCAAATAATTCAATACAGGAAATCTTTGGCCACACATCTGAGATGTGGCTAACCTACAAGCTCAAGGGGAATCCAGAGTATTAACTTCACTGACTGAAGCTGAAGATTGAAAATTCTGCTAGACATGTTCATTATTGGGAATGCTGAACAATAATTTCTTAAGCAATTTTTCAAAAATTTGGAGTTTTATTTGAGCTAATTGTATTGCAATGAGCTGATATGCATGCTTAACACAGCTGATTTTTCCTCGTTACAGTTTGCATATATGTCAACAAACATGCCTGTGCTGGGCCACATCTTGATAAAAAGAAGTTGCAACAGCTACCAGATCATTTTGGGCCTGCCAGAGCATCTATGGTCCTTCAGCAGGCTGTCCAAGCATGCATTGACTGTGCCTATCAGCAAAAGGCAGTATTTTCGTGTCTGAAGCAAGGCCATGGAGGAGAGCTGATATCAGGTATGGGATTAAACATTCTCAAGATCATTTTTGCATGTTAGCAGCAAAAGTAAAGTAGTTCTAGTATAAAAAAACAAACTGCTCTGAACTTCTAAAAGTGATGACGCATTATTACGTGGTTTTAGTAGGAATGCTTAGAGGCCAGTTTCCATTTAGCATCAACCGCCTTGTCATCTGTGTTGCTGCACCTTAAACTATTTGTTCCTTTAAATTAATCATTTATCCATAAAAGTAGAGTGTTTTGCAGAATATTTGTGTAGGCACACAATATCTGGCTGCACTTGTGCTTTAAAACAGGAGATAATCAGTGCATTTTCAAAATATTGTAGAAATTTGATTAACTAAGATATTAATCCAATGTTGATTGTAATGGTTGTGAATGAAAACAAAACCTTCAAAATATTACATTCACAAATGTAGAGCATGCAATCTTTTGAAAGAAAGCTATAAAATAAAAGCACATTTTAATAGCTAATACATTATTTCCAAAGAAATTGTGCAATGATAAACCTCGAAACAACCTCTGAATTTCTACATTTAATACAAGTTGTCAGTTTCAGAGAATATTGATGGTGACTGCAGACAATTTCCCTGTCAGGATAACAGCAAATTCTGGATCGTTTATGAATCAAGGTTGATAGAGATCACAAAGCTACCAATTTAAGGCTGATTGCATTGGGATTACTTTGGTCATTGGAAGATGCTTTAAACACATCCTTACACTAATGAGTAGGGTAACAGCAAATGTACAGTAACTTTAAGTTATAAGAAAAAGCTTGCAGCAAATACTCAGTTTAGCTACTCCTGAGCAAACAATAATTTAACTGATGCAAACTCATGACTTCTCAAATTGATTATCACAATTATTTTAAAGCGGTGAAACATGGAACAAGAAAGTAGGTCTCGAATTGGGTTTCCAATATTGAGTCACTGTTTTCGGTATGAGTCATGGGCAAAAGGCAGGGTGTGGTAAGGCCAGCTATTGTTATCCAGGAAATAAGAGGCTAAGAGAGGACAAATCAGCAAAGTCTTCTGCAGCTCAACTCAAGAACAGGGCATTAGCAAAATCCTGGGCTCAACTTCCCAGTCAGCTTTCTCAGCAAGTGAATTGTATTGACTTATTGCGTCCTAACAGGGAGCTAGTTATATGTCCAATGCTGTGCAGATTGTTTACATGACCCATTTTCTTGTCTCATGTTTCAAAACTTTAACATAATTGTAATAATCAATTTGAGAAGTCATGGGTATGCTTATGATTTGCATCAGATAAATTATTGTGTGCTCAATAGTAACTAATTTGAGTATTTACTGCAAGCATTTTTGTTATTATTTAACGTCACTATTTATTTACTGTTTCTCTGCTTACTAATGTAATGAAGCACTTAAAGCAGCTTTCAATGACCAAAGTAATCCCAATGCAATCAGCCACCAAATTGGTAGCTTTGTGATCTCTATCAACTTTGATTCATAAATGACCCAAAATTTGTTGTTATCCTGACAGTGAAATTGTCAGCAGTCATCATCAATATTCTCTGAAACTGATAACTTCTGCCATCTGCCCGTGTAGTTAAATGTAGAAATTCAGAAGTTGTTGCCAGTAATACCCTGTTCTTTGCAGGGTGCAATGTTGCAGTCTTGACATAGAATCACAGGAATCATTGATTTGACTCAAACTCCAAATTTATTATGTCCTATTCTCACCAAGGTAAGTACTGAAAATGTTAAGCCTTTTTGAAGAGCATTAAACTAAGCTTTTGACACATTTTGAGTCACACTTGTGATTGGACAATCTCTCTGAAAAAAACTAATTTTAGAAATCTAGAGTATCGTTCCTGCATTTCATGATAAAAATTCCACAGGTTACTAAAATAATAAGACAGAATTTTTATTTTACATTTGCTTATATTTCAGCCTCTACCTTAATCCAATTGTAAAGACAGTGTAGATGATAGTACAAAAGTATAAAGACATATCAATAGACTAGGTAAAGGGGTAAAACTGTGGCAGATGGAATTCAATAGAAGCAGGTGTGAGGTTTTCTATTTTGGACCATTAAGGATAGATCTGGGTTCTTTCTAGATGGCATGAAGTTAAATACAATGGATGTCCAAAGACACTTAGGGGTTCAGGTGCATCACTCTTTAAAATGCCATGGACAGATGCCAGATAAGAAAGCAAATGGAATGCTGGCCTTTATGTCTAGAGGACTGGAGTACAAAGATGCAGGACTTATGCTGCAATTATACAAAACCCTGATTCGTCCCCACTTGGAACACTGTGAGCAGATCTGGGTTCCACGCCATAAGAAGGTATATTGGCCTTGGAGAGAATACGACGTAGGTTTACAAGAATAATACCTAGATTTCAGGGATTAATTTAGGAAGAGAGATTATATAAATTAGGCCTGTTTTCTCTATAATTTAGAAGGTTAAGGGATAATCTGATTGAAGTCTTCAAGATATTAAGAAGAAAAGACAGGGTAGATAAAGATAAATTATTTCCATTGATTGAGGATTCTAGAACTAGGGGGCCTAGTCTGAGAATTAGGGCCAGGTGGTTCAGGGGAGATGTTAGGAAGCACTTTTACACACAAAGGGTGGCAGAAGTTTGGAACTGTCTTCCACAAACAGCAGTGGATGCTAGATCAGTTGATAATTTTAAATCCGAGATATATTAATTTTTGTTAAGCAAAGGTGCCAGAGACAGGTATATGGAGTTAGGCCACAGATCAGCCATGCTCTTACTGAATGGTGGAACAGGCTCAAGGGGCTGAATGGCCTACTCCCATTCCAGCTTTCCATCCATATGTGCTGATTTTGTTTCACTCTCTCCATAAAAATATTAAAACAAATGAATAATCATTTCTTTTTTTTCAATTCCTGGTTTACTGTCTAAAGAATTCTGCAATCCGATTGTTCATTCTCTTTGCTGTTGGACTCCTATAGCTGGTGCTGAAATGAAATCGATGTTGTAAAGAGGAAAATGAATCACTGAGGCCACCAAATCCTTGTGGGCAGCTTTCTTTGAGATCAGTGGCAAACACCATTCCTTCACCATTGACCACAGAATCTAAGCCATTAAAATGGTATTTGACTAATATGTGGTTCCATTGAAAACATGCACATAGAGCTCTATCTAGTGGCAGTTTGTGAAACTATTCTCAAACAGTAATGCCATCCACATAAAAACACTTTAGAAGCTTAGTTTGATCATTACAGTTCAATAAGTAATGAAATGGAAGTGAACAAACATAGCAATTTTAATTTTTCACCTTTATTATCAATTACTAGTTATTAATTTACTGAAAAGAGCTTATTATGTTTGTTATGTATGCATTGTCTTATCAATGTTTCAGATATGGCTGTGAAATGTATTATTTTAAAGGTTGTAAATGACACAAAACTAGATGGAAGTGTAAGTTGTGAGGAGAATGCAAAAATGCTTCAAGGGGATTTGAAGGGACTAAGAAAATGGGGAAGAAAATGGCAGATGGAATACGTGTAGAGAGATGTGATGTTATTTTCTTTGGTAGGAAATGCAGAAACAAAAGGCATGAGTATCCCCTCTCTGGAAGTGGTGAAAAAGGTGGCAAAAACAGCTTATTAATTGGGATAACAAGGTGTAGAGCTGGATGAACACTGCACGCCAGGCAGCATCAGAGGAGCAGGAAAGCTAACGTTTCAGTTCTGGACCCTTCTGAAGACTCTTCATCCAGCTCTACACCTTGTGATCTCAGACTCCAACGTCGGCAGGTCCTACTATCTCTTTTTAATTGGGTGAGTTTGTGTTGGACAGACATTTTATTCCTCCTCACTACCTCAGCAATTGAATGCTCGACACAAGTTATGGTCCTTAAGTTGCTGCTTAAGGGCCTCAACTCACCACCAGCCTTTGATAGAAATTAGGATCAGGAGTAGGCCATCCAGCCCTTTGAGTCTGCTACACATTTATTATGGCCATGGCTGATCATCCATCTCAGTACCCTGTTCCGTCGCTCCCCCATATAACGCGATCCCTTTAGCCCCAAGTGTTATATCCAACTCCTTCTTGAAACCTTTGGCCTCGACTATTTTCTGTGGTAGCGAATTCCACGGACACACCATTCTTTGGAAGAAGAAATTTCTCTGCACCTCAGTTCTAATTACCTTTGTGGTGGGCAAGAAAAGTGACTGGTTTCCTAACAGGGAAACCAGGATGACCTGCCACTCAAGTTAGGGGAGTGCCAAGCTGGCCAGTTATAGACAGGAATAGGGGGCAAAGGGGTGGCCACTTCTCACTGTTGCAGCCCTGAAGCCTAGGCCTCTAACAACTAGCTCTCATGCACAGTAGTTTCTGGTCTCTGATTAGCTTGCAGCTTCTGGCGATGAGAAACATCAACATTGTGGTCCGTGGAAGTCCAACAAGTGCACTGGTTCAGCCCCTAACTATCTGATTGGCATTTAATCTGGTTTTCCTCTTCTGGGAGAATCTAGAACGAGGGGCATAGTTTAAAAATGAGGGGTTAGCTATTTAAGACAGACATGGGCAATATTTTTTCTGTCTCTGACAGCTGTGAGTCTTTGCAATTCCTTCCTCAAAAGGCAGTGGATGGAGAATCTTTAAATATTTTTCACGCTGAGGTTGACAGATTCTTCAATACCAAAGGGATGAAAGATTATTGGGGGAAGCAGGAAGGTAGAGTTGAGGTTAAAATCAGATCAGCCGTGATCCTATTGAATGGCAGAGCAGGCTCAAAGGGCTGAGTGGCCTTCTCTTGTTTGTGGCCCATGTGTTTATTAGATTTCTCCTTGGTGGCAGGGAATCACAGACCACCCCCATACTTATTACTTGGAGCAATACATTTCAGCCACAGAATATTTCTTAAATAGCAGGAGGATGGGCAGTGGTGAAATTTCAAGGGACTTGGATGTCCATGAGTCACCAAACGTTAACAGCCAAGCAATTGGGAAGGAAAATAAGTGATAAGTGAGTTTGAGAATTTGCTTCAATTCGATCCTGGG